TCTAAACCGTGAGATGCACAGAACATGGTAAAGCCGTCATTCAGGAATCGTAGGGACCTTACTAATTAGAAGAGGGTTTGGGGCTTCCCTATTATAATTGTAGTATAATATACCCCAAAACCTTATTCTAGCCCTATTCTAAGTATTCCGGCCCCTACAGCAAGGTCTTGCAAAGGTACTCAAAGGAGTATAGGACTTAGAACATGGTTTGCAACTCGGTTATAACGGTGGTACTTGTTACCCCGTGAACCTGGACATGACACTACCCGGAATACTAAACTGGGAACTTCTAAAGCCGAGTTGAAACCCGCAAAGGCCCTCCCCAAAAAAGTATGAGTATGCAACTCCCAAACCCACAGCCTAAGCCGTTAAGAGCTCTCCAGAAGCCTCCTCACAGTCGATCATTTTGGGAGTTTCTCAGAAGTAGGGAGCCTCGACGCACGGATCCACCCATCGACGGACGACGGAGGACGAGAGTCTAGAAGCCTTTAAGGGTTGTATGTTCGGGTTTAGTGGTTTTGGGGTTCAGGGTTTAGGGTTTAAGGTTTAGGGTTGAGGGTTTAGGGTTGAGGGTTGAGGTTTTGGGGGCTTGGGGTCTGGGGTTTAGGGCCTACGGAAACTTCAGGTGTAAGCTTTTGAGCTATCGGTGCATGTGAAGGCGGCTCCCTCGTTCTGAGAAATTCCCAAAGTCTGCAGCTTTGGCCCCTGGCCTGTTTAGAAGCGTGCAAGCGGCCCTAACCCCGAAACCCCGATATCCCTAAACCCCGAAACCCTAAACCCCTAAACCCAAACCCCGAAACCCCTAAACCCTAAACTCCGAAACCCCGAAACCGTTAAACCCCAACCCTTTCAAACCGTAAGCCTTGGCCTGTGATTCTCATGCCACCTCAAACAGGCGTCGAACCCGGTTTCGGGTTTAGGGTTTAGGGTTTAGAGTTTAGGGTTAAGGATTTAGGGCTTAGGGTTTAGAGTTTAGGGTTTAGGATTTAGGGTTTAGGGTTTAAAGTTAGGGTTTGGGATGTGGGGCTTTAGTGGTTAGGGTATAGGGAACCCGTCGATCCCGGACGGCATAGAAATCCTGTGTTTATGGAGCTCCAGGCACGGGCTGCGGAGGCCTATATACGCCCTAAACCCTTTGACTTTAGGGTTTAGGGTCTAGGGGGTTTATGGATTTAGAGAGATTTAGGGTTTAGGGGGTTTAGGGAGTTAGAGATTTAGGGAATTAGGGGGTTTAGGGTTTAGGGATTTAGGGTTTAGGGGGTTTGGGTTTATGGGCTTCAGCCCGAACTCCTAATTCCTAGAAGCTGCACCTAAGCAAAAAATACTACAACCTTCGGGTTTAGGGTTTAGGGCTACAACCTCCAGAATCCGAAACTCCAAAGCCTTAAGCCTCCAAGTTAGATGTTCAACCAGTGGTGCGGCCTCAACTAAACCCTGACGAAACACGTATAAGACGCGTATACAAACACCGTAACCCTAAACCCTAAACCGAAACCTTTTCAAAGCTCTAGAGAACCGGGCTCTTGCTCAAGACTTGCACTAGGGCGAAGCCCTCAGCGAGGATTTCGATGCTTGCGCAACCGGCTTGTACTCCTCAAAGAACCCCCAACACGGAGTTTCAGCAGGGTTTAGACTGTTTTCTCAAGGTCTTTATAGAATTTGTCGTTTTTCTATAGTGTTTTAATTTAAGGCAATGGTCGCCTAAGGGTTTTTATAAGGCTATTAAGGGGTTCGGGCTTGGGATTTCGGGACCAGGCATGAGGATGTATTGTTTACACAGTTCGTTCGGAGTTCGACACCTTACATCTTAAACCCTAAACCTAAACCCTAAACCCTAAACCCTTGACCCCTGAACTCTAAACTCAAAGGCTCGAAAACCTAGACTAGCCCCTAACAAAACAAGTTCCTTTGCAATAGATAGAGCGTGATGAGTTTCGAGGAAGGTCTAAACCCGCTAAATAGCAGGCAATTGGAGCCACGTGTACGTGCTAGCCGAAGCACTTGACCCTAATGTAGAAGCCCAAATAATTACCTGTAGTATCTTGGGGCTCCTTACGGTAACTGTAGTAGAAAACAACCCCAAACATTATTCGAATTGTTAAGGCCCCTACATTACAGCTTAAATCCTGAGCCCTCAAGTCTGAACCCTCATAGACCCCAAGAGGAAAGCCAAACTCCATACAGCTCGGTATAAGGCTTTGACTAAAGGCTTAGAAAGCCTCATGACATCTTTGAAAACCAGTAAGACCCCATACCCAAACCTTAAATCCGCATAGACCCCATACCCAAGCCCTCGAAGCATCCGTCGCGGGACCTTCCTGCCAATCAGACGTCACGTTCTGGCACGCCGACCAAAAAGGGTTTAAGAATTGGCGTTTGGCACTGTTGGTTTGAGTTCAGGTTTTTGGGTGAAATGAAAAGAGGGTGGTGTGTTCGACTTCTTTTACTGTATACGGACTTATATGCAGTTTCAGTGGCCTTTCACATACGTTAAGAGCTTCATAGGGCTTTACACGGGTGTTTACTAGGTTGAGGCTTAGGGATGCAGTCTGGTATCTAGGGCTTACCTTAAGAACCCAAAACCCACTTTTTTGTAGTTTCTTATTATAAACCCTAATGTGGGATTTATAGGGACCCTACAAAAAAGTAGGTTTTGGGTTCTTAGGGTAAGGATGGGGATTTCAATGTGTTTTTGTTCCAGGGGCTTGTTCATTCAGTTGAGGGTTTAGGGTTTATGGTTGATACTTGGAGGGTCGGGGGACTTAGTAACTAGTTATTTTATAGACTTATAAGTACTATAACCCCACTTAGGGTCCCTTTTAGGGTACTTATAACTTACTTAATATCTACTTACTAAGTCCCCAGAACC